AATGAGCATGTGCAAATTTAAAAAAATTCACCGGGGGGGGCTAGGAGAGATTTTTGGGAGCTCTGTAAGTCTCTCCTGGCAGGGACGTAGCGAAGGCCTCTGGTTTGGGGGGGGGTGACATTCCTAATTTTCCCAACTTTTTTGAAACATAAAAAAAATCATATATAGCATCGTACACGTGTTAAAAAGTGAAACTTTTTAAAAACTATTCCCTTCCTCATACAACTTTTAGACATAGCGCATGAGTCGAGGTATAAAGACGAAAGGCTACACAAAAGAAAAACGCGCATCTGTAGTGCCGTCACAAGGGTAACGGCGCTTGACAATAATAGGCAATCCACTTTGTTTATAATCCTTGGTTTGTGTGAATCGTTCGTCGGCTGTCATTGTCATTGGCTGTCTTTCTCCTCCTGTCTACGTTATATCTTTCTTCTTTCTCGTCTCTCGTGTGCCGAAATTTGCCAAAACGTGTCGTTACGTAACGTGACGCGTCTTTCAAAACACTTTACAAGAAGTTTCACTTAAGAAAAATCATGTGCAGCGCATTGTGCACGTGTTGGGAGGTGAAACTTTTTAAAAACTATACCCTCCCTCATACAACTTTTAGACTTAGCGTATGAGTCGGGGTAAAGACGAAAGGCCACACAAAAGGGAGACGCGCATCTATAGTGACGTCACAAGGGTATCTGCGCTTGACAACAATAGGCATTCCTCTTTGCTTATAAACCTTGGTTTGTGTTAATCGTTCCTCGTCTGTGATTGTCATTGGGTACATTCAGGCGGTTCCAGCGGCTAAGCTCAGCCACTCATCAGGGACTTTATTCTCGAAACCAAGGAACAGTGTTCTCATAAGAATGATTGCTCTGCCATTGTCAGTGTTATGCCGGACGACAAAGACAGAACCTTCGTTCCAATGAGAACGCTGCTCCTCTGTTTCGAGAATAAAGTTCCTGCTGAGTGGCTGAGCTTAGCCGCTGGGACCGCCTGAATATACCCATTGGCTCGCTTTCTCCGTCTCTCTACAGTCTACTATATATTCCTTCTCTCTCATCTCTCGTGTAACGAAATTTGCCAAAACGTGACGTTACGTGATGCGTTTTTCAAATCACTCTCCATCTCCATATTCTTGTCTAAATATCAGACCGCCGCCTAAGAAGTTTCACTTCAAAAATTGATAAAAAGTTTGACATGTATACAGGGTGTCCCGGATAAGGATGCAGTCTGATCTCGGCAACCATAAGAGCTATAGGGTTGGTTAAATTTGGAAAGAGTTGCGCATTACTGAGCTCAGTGGCGTCATATGTTTTGATATTTCGTAAATTCCGAATTACATAAAGTGCGTTTTTTTTTTAAAGATAATTCCCCAAGTCAAAAATTTAGTAACTTTGTTGGCAACATAAGCTTTTTCTACATAAAAATTTGAAAGTCATTTTGACTTTTTTCTACAAACGTGTTAAAAATGCAATTTTGAACACCCCCTCGAAGCATTAAAAATGTTACTTTATCGCACTAGTGCCATAAAGTCTTTATAGCACTAGTGTTAAAAATGAAACATCAAATTTTGAGAGCGAACGTCAAAAAAAGTTTGTATTTTTAGTTATTTACATTAATGGTGAAATTTGAACAACTAAATTAGCCCGATTGGCCGCCTCATCTATATTTTTCGAGTGATCGATGAAACCCTCTTTTTCTTCTGTATTTTCTTGCTTTTTTAGCAAAAAGCATTACTGACCATTTACTGACCACGACAGGCTTTTAAGAAACTGACAAGACATTTCATTACCTGTAAAACAAGGTGCTGGTTGTTTGGAATTTTTGACAAATGTCAAATTTAATAATTTTATGTAGGAAAGGGAAAGATGCTTCCAATTTATTATTCATTTAAAAATCCAATTTGTTACTGGTTATTGCTTTTTAATGCCGTTTGTAGAAAAAATATTGTATGATATTTGTGTTAAAAGTATTTTTAAGGCACTTATGTGAATTGCAGAATTCATTCCGCTCATTCTGCAAACTTTCACATGCGTGCCTTAAAAATGTACTTTTAACACTTATATCATAAATATCTATTAGAGAGTTATTGGAACTATTAAATACTGCCTCGCAGTATTAAGGATCTACGTTATTTTATTAGTGCATCAGCACTATTTTTCCAAGAAAAAAACAGTTATTGGAAGACTGTAGTAGGTGCTAGAGTATTATCTTATTTTGTATTCATAATTTTGACAGATGATAGCTATGTTTATAAATTTCAGCCACAAAAAGTGTTTATTTTTGTTTGTGATTTTCTGCTAATACTCATTTTTTGATGTTACCCACAGTAAAATGGAAAACTATTGTAAAAAATAAATTTTCTAAGTAAAATTACGTTATCGTCGAAAAGTAAAACGTCAAAGTCGTCCAAAATGTCAGAAATTTGAAATAAGGGAACTTTACTGCCTCGCACTAATCATACACAAATAAAGACAAGCAGTAACCTTATTAAGGGAATCCTTATTTTCGGACCCAAATACGCATGCGAAGATGTCAAAATAAGGCTAATTTAAATACTGCTTGTCCTTATTGCACGTCCAATAACTCTCTAATATCTTTAAAAAAAAAAACGCACTTTATTCCGAAGATATCCATGAAAAACCGAATTTTGCCGAAATGGTTTTTATTTTTTTCTGACTTTATTTGAAATGATATCGCACAATAAACTTCACATTCTCATTGCTACTTTTTCTCCACTACCGGGGGGGGCTGGGAGAGATTCTTGGAAGCTCTGTAGGCCTCTCCTGGTAATGGAGCAAAACTCGCCGATAGTGGAGCAAAATGGAGCAAAACTCGGAGAACAAAATGAGCATGATCAAATTTCAAAATTTTCACCGGGGGGGGGGGGGGGGGCTGGGAGAGATTCTTGGAAGCTCTGTAGGTCTCTCCTGGTAATGGAGCAAAACTCGCCGATAGTGGAGCAAAATGGAGCAAAACTCGGAGAACAAAATGAGCATGATCAAATTTCTGAATTTTCACTGGGGGGGGCTATCGTTAATTCAGCCCCCCCCACCTAATAGGCCACATAGTCTCTCCACTGTAATGGAGCAAAAATCGAAATTAGTGGAGCAAAATGGAGCAAAATGAGAGCAAAATTATGGGATAGTTTTCATCCAGAAATTTTTTTTGGGGGGGGGCTAACTTAACTGACCCGCGCAAACCGCAGGTAGCTAGCACACCTGGTTTAAAAAAGTTTTAAGCATTTTAAATGGGTCACTCTCGGCTGGGACACCCTGTATATTCATGTTATGATGAAATGCATTCAAAATCATAGTAGGATAGTATTTTTTGGAAAGTTTCGAGAATGTTAGCATGGCATGTTTTCTACATTCTAGGCCCTAAATTTCAAGAGATGGAAAATGCTCATTCTTAAAATATTACCCTCGACCAAGAACTCTCTGATGATGATTTAGTAGACGCGTAAAATTTTTTAAAACCATATCGTGACACGTGCCAGGCTTCACTTTCGCTAAGCTTCAAAACACTGAGTTTTTTGATATCATATAGGCACGCATACAGGTAGGTACCTACCTATGTACAGGTATTTTCATAATCTGGTTTCACTCTAAAGAACAGTTTAAACACATAAAATTGACAAAACGGTACATTCATGCTTTGCTCTCGGAGATTAATAAATGGTTAGAAATTGTTCACTTTCTTTCTACTACCTTATCTGATTTTAAGAAGAATCGGCATTTTGATTACAAAAATTTGAAAAAATTGCAACTAGGCTGGTAAGTGGGCAAAAGAAATTACTGACGTCATATATGATATATTTTCAATTAGGATTAGGTAGATCTTTATGGAAAAATTTGAGCATTAATGATATCTAGCTGATAAAATCAGATATTTTTTATTGATCTAAGTACATCAAAGGTCGAGAAAAGGATAACAGAAACATATATGATTTAATCTTAATATGTATTTTTTAAATTACTCCTATTTTTTAGTGATAAAAGTTTTAAAAAAAAAATCTAACTGATTTCCTTTTTTTGAAGTTTTCCGGCAAATAAAGATATTTTTAGTGCCCAGAAAAATCGATCAGGTGCTTCACTACTACTACACGAAAAAAACATCAAACACACATTGCAGGATCCTTTGTGTTTTTTTATTAGGTACTTAGATACATATTTCTTCTATGAATTTTTGTAAGAGTTTATCTATATTTTTTGCACTTTATTATGTATTATTATTAGTTATCCAAGCGAAATAAAATATACGTTACCAATATTAAATTTCTCTCCTTTTGGTATTTAAAGTTTTATGGAAGTATTGGAAGTGCTGCATTTCCGAAAACTTTCAATAGCACTTTTTTTTTTTGCACTTTTTGAGAGGGTCCTCGTCCTATACTTGCCAAAGAAAACTATGTCGTCAGTACATCTGACTTTATAGCTTCTCTAAAGTTTTTTGGAACATGAAAATAGTGCAATTCAGAAAAATTCTAATAATGTTTTTGCATTTCTACGGGTCTTTCAAAAAGTGCGTGCACAATATATCCCATTTCGGCAGAAGTCTATGGGCCAATGGAAATATTACCTGACATCCCGTTATTGGATAAGACTGAGGGCGGGTATTATAAAACTATTTTGACAGAATAACTAAAAGCTAACTTCTGGAATGATGTTACTTCTCATGGTAATTGAAGAAGTTAACTTTTACCCGCCATAAGAGAATGCTGTCCTCAGTTCAGACGTCAAATAAATGTCATGGCAGGAATTTGAAGGCGTTCGATATTTACAAGCTTTGGGCCAGTCAGGTTTTTCTATGATTTCGCGGAATGATTTTTAAATCCAAACAATATTGACTGAAACAGCATAGTAACGTAACGAGGGTCTTCCTCCAATCTCCATCCTCTTGATTTCTATTATCCCTCCCCCCTCTCCACCCTAGTTCGGAGTTTGGGTACATGGTATAGCTGCCCCTGATATTATCAAAGGCAGACAACAAAAATGGGTTTTCAAACAATTTTATTATAAAAAATATATTAGATTTAGAAAAATACACTAAGACTTAAACTAGTTAGTTTTGTTAAAAGTCGCGTTTAATGAGCTTGAATTTAAGCGGCTGCTCCGGCACATAGGTGGGGGTGATTTTGTAGCTGAGTGGTCCGTAGTTGTATTCAATTTTGTATTTTCTGAAAATCTAAAAAAAAAAGGCACTTTTGGGTTGGTAATTATCTAAGTTTTTCCTTGGCAGATGATTATATGAAATGGTCTGAGATTGCCAATGGAATTCTCTAAAACGATTATTGAGTGCCATTATATGGCCGCCATTATAGACGCGTCGCTTACCTTTGCCAGCATAATATTCAGTTCAGTTTCAGCAAATCTCCTACCCAAGCACGACCGCCTACCATACCCAAACGGCAATGACACAAACGGGTGAATTTTTTCCTGATTGTGTGGACAACCGGTCACATTTTTCAGCCATCTTTCTGGTATGAACTTTTGCGGCTGCTTGAAATAATTGTCCACGTTGCTTACAACCAAATGAGGGAAAATGACATGAGTGCCCTTCGGTACATGATATCCAGCCAAAACTGTGTCCGATTGTAAACTCCTACCATTACCGATTATAACGGGATACATTCTAAAAGCAAGTCACAATTTCACTAAATTTTCAAGTCTTATGACGCCGTAAGACAGGTACCTTAAAGTTTCCTTGATGCAAGCCTTCAAATATGGCATTCGCTCTTGAGCCTCCACGTTGACTTTGGAATCAATACCTGGCAACGCTGCTCGAAGCTCTTCGAAAAGGATTTGTTGCTTTTCTGGATTCTGGCTCAGCTGGTAGATCGTTGAGGCTAGGGCTATGGAAGTCTGGCAACATTGGAGAGTTATGAAAGACGATTTTCAGTTTTATAGACGTCAGTTAAAATTTTGTTTTTTGGAGATGTGGAAAACCAAGCTTTATTGAATTTTTTTCAAAAATTTTACTGTGATTTTGTGATCGCAAGGCATTTGGGCAGGACGTACAACGGCTTAGCAGTAGGCGTTTGAAATCAAGTTCTTTCAAGTCTAGCGCTGATTAGCTATTGCTAATACGGTGTACCTTTTGTATCGACGTTGCTGATCGCGTGAATTTTGTTATTGGCTGTGCGCATTAGCATTTGCTAATCAGTGGTAGTGTTTATTATTTTTGGCTTTACCCGTCCGATAATAATCGAGAAAATGCAGACTTACCCAAACTAAGCCGTCCGCCTAGCGCGATCTAGTAAGTAATCATTGTATTTAAAAAAAATAATAATAATATGTAATTTAGTTTAGTGCATAGCGCGCTTAGTTCTTTGTTCTTTAAATATACTGCTAAATTACGAGGACTAAATAGCACTAGACGGACGGGTACGCTCTGCATAAATTGAACCGGCATAAGTTACATCGTATAAGCAATAGTCAATCAGTGCTCGACTTTAAACTCCTATATCTAAGCCGTTGTATGTTCTGCCTAAATGGTGTAGGTATAAAGGTACACCGTATAAGCAATAACCAATCAGCACTCGACTTTAAACGCCTATTGCACAGCTTCCTATTGTATGCGACCGGGAGTAAGCTTAGAATTGAGTTTTTTTTTTTAATTTGGCAACAACAAAAATATTTTTTTCACATTCACGCAGTAATGTCAAGTTTGGCATCGTTCTTTCAATTGGCTCTGACGGTTAAAATGTTGCCACCTTTTCTAAATACAAAAAAAAAAAACTAGCAAAAATGCATAATTTCCAAACTTACTGTGTCGACTCCGACGAGTAACAAATCTAAAGCTAGCACCGCTGCCAATTTGGGATTTTTGGATTTCATCAAAATTCGTTCCACAATTGAAATATCTTCTTCTTTGACATTATCAAAGTTTTTATTTTCCATACTCTCCACTGTTTTGGTAATGTATTTCAAACATAACCTGCAAAAATACGTTAAAATTAAAAAAAATTACAAAACATTGCCTGCCTTGCCAACAATCTTTTCGAGAATCAACCAGAAATTATTACTTTGTGGGCCAGTCCTGTTGCGACAGCTCAGGCTCGGACTTTTGACTTTGATGGAAACGGTCTCAAATCAACTAATACCTCATATAAAAAATATTACAAGTGTGCTTAAGACCGCACGACAGAAGTAAAAACAAGACGCTAAAAAAATACATATTAAATCCCAATTGCGCTATCTCTCTCTGTCTCTCGCACTACTGACTCTCTCGCACTGCCGAAGTCGACTCGAGCCGACTGTATCTGAATGAGCGTTACCTATTTAGGCGTGACGGCTTAATCTCATTCACTACCCAGAAAAAAATGTGCCAAACGCGCCTAAAGAAATCGGATTTTTGTTTTTATATTAGCCCTATGACTCCTACGAGTTACAGAAAACGAATGAATTGAGAAGAACGTGGTTCGTACGACAATACTTCTTGCGCAATCCGGCCGTGTTGCTCAAATAGCATTGCTCGTCAAAAGCGAATAATGAAGTATGGTATATTAGCTCCCATTTGAATGTTGCTGAAATAAACGCATACTAATTCATCTTCAAAAAAATTTGGTTGGAAGGTGCTAATATGGGTAATACACATGGAATCCATTAGATCGAAAATAATAACATTAGCGGCCAAAGTCAAATTGAAAACCGGCAAGAAGTCTCACTCGCGTCGGCACTTCTGCATCGTTGCTCAATTGCTCAAAACCCCAATATTTGACAGCAACAACTTTCAGTTCCAAAATATAAGTAGAAGAAATATTCATGCATTTCAAAAAGCCAAAATGACAAATTAATAGGTAGGTAATCGATGACTCACCAACACGTTTGGTAGTAATGCAGTTACTCAACGCAGATGGCAATTATTTTCTTGACTTCTTTCATATTTCAACGAGTGTATTTGTTACCACTATTGTTTCCTACCCCACGTATTACGTTTGTTGTATCGAGCACGACAAAACAAACTTATATTGAATATGATGTAGGTACAGTCCTACTTTTATAATCTGATACTACAAAGGAATGTGAGCTGGTGGCTCCCAACGTTAGCACGCCAATGGTCACCTGACCTCACACCTGCTTTTGCTGTATTTTTCCTCTCTTCGCTCCTCATACGGAAAGTGTCAAATTAAAAAAGCTAAACATTACTTACCTAACCAAGAGGAAGGTGGATGATAACGACATAAACGTAGGTAATTCAAACAAATAGGGGGGGGGGGGGGGAGGCGGTGCTCTGATAACGTATAAGCTATGGACCGCCGCAGATGAGAGGGTACCTGACCTAAGTTCAGCAATTATTTCACAGATCATTTTATCATCTCCAATCAATACGGCGCCTGTTCCACTACCCCCGTATCGTATGTTTTTCCCAAAACTTGGAAAAATAAAGTGAAGAAGAATGTTACATAAACAAAAAGAATCTCAACCTAAAAACCCAAAAACATTTACCAATCCAAAGCGCGGAGAATGCAGATGGTTCAATAAACCTTTCACTATCCAACCAAGTTATATAACTGGGTGTCACGGTCACGGTCGTAGACCCACAAGCGAAAGTGTACACAGAAAAAACATACTTAAGTTGAAGTAATTTTTGCGTATAATCGTTCAATGAAGTGAATATGTTTTGTACATGTGAAATACATATCAATTCGAGTTGATTATTTTCTTGAAAACAAATTGGAAAATTTGTCGATTCAAAGATAAAAGGTGAATCTACTTTCCATTAATTAAATGAGTTAGGTAGCTAGGTACTAAAATTTACATCAAGGTACCTATATAAAAAAAATGTTTCTACAAGCTTAGAGAACAAGGTTTGTGAGAAAACAAAATTAACTAATCTGAAGCCTATTTGAACGAGAACATATTCTATACTTCCACTAACAAGTAGGAACATAGGTATAGGTACCTAGTATGCCTTCTTTAAACATCACTGAAATGTAACAAAAATTAATTTCTTGAATTCACTTTGAAAGCTTTAGACATTAACAGCAACAATGCTCAAATTCAAACACCATATTTTTAAAACCTAAAGGTAGGTACTAAGGTAGTATCGTATCGTATAAGGTGAGTATCGTTCTCTGGCTAATGTGACTTGGGGTCTCCTGCAAGATGCAGGGTGCAGTTAGTTATTACGGAAAGCTCAGGGTGGCCGAATTATAGAAAACATCACAACACGCATACATCAGTATCGCTCTATCGCTAATTATAATCACTAATTCACCGGAATAAATGACTCAAATGATTAGCGTGTGTTTGATAGCTGAATCCGGGGAAAATTTTGGCGACGAATCGCGATGGTTCTTTTGAGAAAAACACAACCATTATTTGGGGCAACTTTCGGTATCTAAAATAAGACAAGTTCATGTTGCGTGCGTAGAAGTCGCGGAATCTCGGTTATCCTGTATACAGTTCTAATCCTTTTGTAATTGTCTAGATAGTTCTACGAATTTCCGGAAGACGCCCATCTGTAATTTCATTGGTGAAAATTTCAGTCATCAGATATACGGAGCTTGAGCAATAAGTACCGATTGCAGTGTAGCTGGATTGTGCACAGTTTGCACCACTTGGGAAAACGTAAATTTGGCAAGTCGCACGATGTATGATTTATGTTATTTTACATTAAGTTCGTAAAGTCTTAAAAATTTAAGCAAGGTACATTGACTTTCCTTATTTAGGCTTAGTAAAATTGATCAAATTAAAATTTATCAATGCTAATAACTTATATATGGTGCAACTAAATACGAGTCAAGCACATGATGTAATTATTGTGATCAATAGTAGTTCATTTTCTTTCTGTCTACCTACCCATACCACATAGCCAGACAAGAACCACGGTGAGTCAAATCCGCGCGGTGGATGTGATTTTATTTATGTTTTTTTTTTTTTTTTGTTTAATTTGTTAATTTGTTCACAGGTGAATAAAAACTATTCTGTTTGGTCCCATAGGTATATGCTTCAAATTTTAACAGCTAAATCTACTTACGTTCTGAAATCTTCCAAAGCGCCAATATACGTTCTAAATGCCTTGTTTTTGTAGATCCTCCAAATGGGCATTTTGAGTTCAACTTCGGCAACGTTCCAGAAAAACGTGTTAATGGAGTCGATGATTCGTTGAGATTCGGAACTTTTATTTAGATTCGGGTCTAGACAGCCAAGGCGGGTGTTTAGGGAGACTCTGGCGACGGCTGCAAAAATTTTAATGTGAAAAATGTTCCTAGAAATAAGGGAAAATTACATTCTAACGCCCATTTGTAGATTTCGGATAAGAAATTTTCGGGTAGCTCGTGGTTTTTGTCCAAAGACTGCTCCATTCTGGAAAATAAAAGTTCATTACAATACAAGCATATTTATTTTTCCAGTTGGCGTTGTGACTGCAATAAAATATAAATGATATCCAAGGCCCGAAGAGCTCATAAATTTCGAACCAATTCAGGCAAATATTTTACCTGTCATAAGAAGTTTATTATAAATTTACGCATGTTGATTGCCTATGCAGGTAAGTGAATAAAAAACTAAAAAGAATAAGATTTTGTTTCTTATAACTAACTACCTATGTTTTATTTTGGAAAAAAATTTTTTTGAAATATGACCTGAACCTAAAGACTTGATATAATTAAATATTAAGTCCCTATTGGATCTTTTAGTTATAATGTTGCGTCTATAGTGTATGGACTCATGCTGCATGCTGGTGCATACGGTAGTGTTGATTTGAAAATGAAGCATTCACCTATCGATGCTTAAGGACTCATCAAACATGTGTATTCATCTTCTCCAAGCAGAGGTTAAAGCTGAAATTCCTCCATCTTCAGTAAAGGATACAGCAATATAGCAAGCCCATGAATCCGAGAAGACAATGAAACGACGCTATGGCAAATTGAAAAGTATTGTCGGAAGTGATAAGGAGCTAACAAGAAAAATTCATGCTATGAATGGAAAACAATCTGTACCTAAATTTAAATAGTTAAAAATGAGGCTGGCAAAAAACGGAACCAATATGTTATGTGGCATATCAAGCTTTAAGGAGATTAGTTCTGTCTAAAATGGGTTTCATCGCCATTGATAAAAGATAAGTGTTTATAGAATCGTATAGCGTATACGGGAAATTACGCCTTAGCATATTTGAAGGCTATTAAACAATATAGATAAGAGAATCGTCATATTATCTGATATTTATGAAACATGAATTGATACTCCCGACAGTCCAAAAAAAGGCTGGAATGCTTTTTTCAAAAAGTTGTCAAACCAAAGCTTCTACGAATAAAAACCATCACACATGCAAATTCAGAGAACGATTTTGTTCTGAAGTGCAAGTTGCTTTCAGCCAAGAACATAGCCACTTGCGATTTGGACTACATTTTTTAAATACCTATAGGGTTGCAAAACCACGTCTTCTCAAAAAGAGTAACGTTATTGTCATGGATAATGCTTGACATCCTAGTCATCAGATAAAAATAGAGCAAAGTTCCAACTGCACCAATGCAGAAATTCAATATTATATGATAGATATTGATATATTTTTTAAAAAATGTTACAAAAAAGAACTTCTGGAAGCATTAAATTCTTATCAAATCGAAAAAGATTATGTGGGTGATAACCTTGCCGCCGAAACCGGTCATATAGTATTGCGTGTTTCCCCTTGCTATATTGCGTGTTTGTTTAATCCAATTGAATTTGTTCAATTGGACAAAAAAAAGTTATTAGAAACATTTAATTTAAACAAACAAATTTCAACTCTTGGAACACTCTGTATCATGTGTTTAAAATTTCAAATTAGCATATAATATAGGCCATTTTCATTTTGTTTCAAAAGAAACCGTGAAGAAATAATGTTAATTGAATGAGAATTATTGTTAAATCTCATGTTTGTTCAATAACATCATTTGTTTTGTAATGCAATTTTCGCTATATCTACGCACTGGATTTCGTAATCAAACGCGATTTCTATTTATTTTATTCTGTGTATATCCCTCTTCCAGCCATATTGACAGAAGTCATACCTAAGTATACACAAAAATATAAATGATCCTTGAAGAAAAAGCACATTAACCTCAATATTCTGATATATCTAATCTGCCGAAAGGCGCTGATGATTCGACGACGACGCGCATCACTTGCACCTTGTAAGTCATTTTCCAGAGAAAAAATAACTCGTTTTTCGGGGTTTTTTCCGGTGCACTGGCTAGTGGTGTCACAAAACAAAAACCCAAGTTTGGGATATTGAAAGCTCCCACGTTTTTGTGCCGTGCGTGTCGTCCCGTGTCAAAGGGCGGTACCTGGACTGGAGTTTGCTCATGCCGGAAACGTGCGTCAGAAAGATGAAGCTGATAAAATTCCTAATGATTAATCAAGAGTATATCTTCCGTCGTGTAGTCAAAACTCCAGTGGCAGAGCAGAAAAAGCTCGCCGCAACCTCTAGCAGTAACCAAAATCCACCAGCCTCGCTGGAGCTTTGGTTTGAACCCTCAAGCTTCGTACAGACTTGAATATTATGCCGAACAACAAACAGAACAACGAACTACACTAATTTGGACGGGGCTATGAAAGCGTTTGCAAACCGGTTCGCAAAACCTGGCCTTTCGTAGCCCCGTCCAAATAAGTGTTTCGTTGGCGTTCGGTTCGTTGTTCTGTTTGTTGTTCGGCGTAATGTTCAAGTCTGTACGAAGGGGTGGAGAAAATTTGTGGGGTTGACACCAAGAGAAGAAGTGGACAGCAAGAGGAGGATGCGCCTATTGCCGGTATGCACCGTTCCACCTTCAAAGAGAAGACCTGTAGGAAAGGCTAAATTACCAGCCTCTGAAAAAAAAACAATTCTGGGGACCTCCCGCCCACAGCGACTCAGCCCTACACCAAGTAGGATGATGTGCCATCCTTCAAAAAACTAATCTAGAATTTCTTCAGAAACGATTCCGAAAGTCCTTAAACTGATTACACACGGAGTCGGATCTGAGAGGCATAGGCATTCACTTCACTCGCTAACGAGTATTTCAGGGCTTGACAGCATGGATCATTATTATGTATCTGTGGGCAGCATTTTCCACATTGATCGCACACCTAGTCAGCGGTAACCGGTCGTTATCAGACGTTCTCGTTTTTTTTTCTATGCGTCCGTTTGTCTTCCGTGACTTCCGTATTCCTTCGCCATTCTCGTTCGAAATACTGCGAGCCTCAATGGATACTTCATTATCATGCGGGCCTATTCATCGCCGTATTGCCTCAAAGTCACCCCCACCCCACATCGATCTGAAACGTTGTAATGTTTGACTTGAGGGCATCTTGGACATTGGAGGATATTGAAAAATCCCTAAGATGGAAACTCCAGTTCTTTTGTGTATCTGGCGAAGTTCCTTTAACATGTTGGGTGAAATTATTTATTAATGCGTCGAGTTCTGATATTAGATGTTCTGTAATTAACATTTACTTTTAGTACTTCAAAAAAAAAAACGGTAAAGTCAAAGAAAGGAATTTTTAACGTAGGTAGGTACCTACCTATTTGTGTTCTTATTTGAATTTCGTCAGGCAATATTATCTATCCAACAAAATTAGCAAAAATGAATATGTTTTTCTGAAATTGGCAATATTGGTCATTAAACGAGTGCGAATCGCAAAATGGGCAACTTTTTATACGTCCATTGTGTAATATTCGGTTATATAACATGCACCCGAGAGCCGAGAGGATTTAAATGGCAAAAATGTGCCTTTTCTGCCAACGACTGCGGTAACAGGTTGGAATTTCGTCTACGAGTTTATTAGCAATAATTTTGCAACATAATGGCAAATATATAAAAATGCAGGCTGCTCCAAATACCGCGGTTTTGCCGAAGAAAAAATAATTTTGTGGTGTCGCAATTATTATTTTCCGACACAGTAATTAACAATGCACTTTACCTTGTAGCTATGTGATTATTCAAATCTGTGGACAACTAGATTTCAATTATTACGCCTACCCTGGCGGAACGCTTTTATTGGGCCAAGGGAAACTAACCAATCAGAACTAATTATATTGTTTTAACAATAATTCACTGAGTTTTTTATTGTTCTAGAGCAACTTTTACCGGTTAGTGTAACGCCGACCTAATTAATCATGTATGCACTCTGTACAGTATTTGTAATAGTTTGTAGCCTTCAGATGCACTTTAATATTGAATGAAGTCAATTATTGTCGCGATTATGCATAGACACAGCATCTTTTTAAGAAACTTTAAACACAACAGGTTATTGAAATTTTATTGTTCTGCAAATTGCAGATCTTTCTAAGTGGCACCTAAATGATAAATATATTAGAAACTGTTTTGTTTTCCAAGAAACGTAAAAGGTGCTGAACGGAACACTACTACCTACCTCGGGAAATAGGACAAAAAAAGGCCATCTGCGGAATGAGGCCGAACAAGCTGAATTTTTGTACAGACCTTCGTTTTGATATTCTAATGAAGCACAAAAAAATCTTATATGCCTAGCCTGGTGCGTCTTGAGATATCGGAGGTCAAAGGTCATGAAAGTCGCTTTATCGCGAAAATCTCGTTTCCAGTGCATCTGACCCTGACGTCGAGAACCCAAAACAAAACTTACGTAGAATAGTATTCTCTACAAAATTGATCATATGCATTTTTTTTCGTACGACCAACCTTTTTCGAGATATAGCGGGATAATAAAACCACAGAACGGGAGCGCGCATTCAAAATAGGTAATATGTCATTGGGTAATACTGTATTTATAACTGCGGAGCTATAACTATAAATGCATTTTTCCTAATCTGTTAGTCTAGAAAATAAAACTTTCAATAATTAAATTGTTAGAAATTTGTTTATTTATAATAATAGTTATTTATAACTCCCGCGCGGGAGTAAAGACCCTGTTTACGATTATCGTAACCAAGGTATTATAATATATATGGATATAATGGTTCAGTAGGATATAAAATATATAATAAATAATTAATAAGATGACATGCATAACAAAAAATACATTCTTTTCCGCACCACTTTTGAAGTAGAGTAGAATGCAAGGCGGTTTTTTTTTGACATGGTATCCCCAGTAGGCCTAATCCATGTTTTCAGGCATGCCTGAACCCGTCAACAGAGTTGCTAAACATCGAAGACTTCAGTGACCTAGAGCCTAGAAGCCTAGAGAGGTTTTGCCAACAGACATAAAGCCAACAGATATAGAGGATTCGTCTGACGAAGATTATTTGTTGATCAAGGTGCTAGTGAGACCCGACGAAGACAAGGAGGAAGGCATGTGCAAAAAATTATGATGTTAAAAAACTTTCCTTAAGATCCAATATGTATTAAACCTACCATTTGACAAAAAAACCTGCCTTGCATTCTACTTCAAAAAAAAAAGGTTTTTTTTTTTTTTTGTTGTTGTTGTGTCCACTAGTCTTTGAAACCTATGTCAAGAAATGTTGTGTTAAATGAATGTATTTATTATTTTTGTAAATTATTGCCTATGGTAATTTTAATTTGATTGATATTGTTGACTTGCTGGCTTCTAGGTTTAGTTGTAAAATTTAATTTAAGTTGGGTTAGCTTTGTAAATAAGATTTTTGTATTCTTGGACAATAAAGCATATTTACTACTACTACTACTACTACTACTACTACTACAAAAGTGTTGCGGAAAAGAATGTAGGTATTTTTTATTATGCATGCTATGTTATAAATTATTTATTATGTATATTTTATTATAATTAGCCAAATTTCTAAAAATTTTATTATTGAAAGTTTTAGTTTCCAGACTAACAGATTAGGAAAAATGCATTTTCAGTTATAGCTCCGCAGTATAATACAGGGTGTCCCACTAAGGTCGGCAAGGTAGGATATTATGGAAACCATAGACCTTACGGCTTCGGGATTTTTTTTCTCTCGACTAAATCGGCCAAGAGGAATTTGATTGAAATTATTTTCAAGCTGCTAAGATGACCGCTAGGGGGCGCAATTACGATGATATAACTGAAAATTCAAATTTTCTCAAGAAATCGCTATATTAAGATACTGTTTTAACAACAGAAAATTTCATTAATTTTTGCGCCAGTTTGGTTATTAATAAGCTTTTTTCGTATCTTCACTAATAAGGGTAGGGGAAGCTGGTGAAAAAATAGTTTTAACAATTGCTGTATCTTCCAAACCCCTCTTATCCAAACTCATTCAATTTGGGCTCATTTGAAAGAGAATTCCATTGTTATTAGGAACACCACTTCGTTCGGGGTCGATAGTTTCCATCGCGTCTTCTAGGGAACGCTCTTTAATCAAGATCCAGTTTTTTCTAATTTTCTAGAAAAATCTTAATAGCATGAAATTTTTTTTTATTGCTGTGATTAGAGAGCAAAAAAATATCTACATTTTGGCGAAAGCCGCAATTTAATATCTGCATTTGTTTTTAAGTTACGTAAGGTCTATATGGTTTCCATAATATCGTACCTCGTCGACCTTAGTGGGACTCCCTGTACAGTATTACCTATTTTGAATGCTTGCTCTCGCTTTATCACGCTATATCTCGAAAACGGTTGGTCGGAAGAAAAAAAATTATATGAGAAATTTTGTAGAGAATACTATTTTACGTAAGTTTTGTTTGGGGTTCTTCGCGTCAGATGCGAAAAACCGATTTTCATGACGTTTGACCTCCGATATCTCAAGAGTAGGCATGTGAGATTTTCTCGTGCTTCATTAGAACATCAAAACGAAGGTCTCTGCAAAAATTCAGCTTATTCGGCCTCATTCGGCAGAGGAAGATCAATTTCCCTGGGGTATACAGGATATAGGTTGCTTGGTTTGGTAGAGAACCTCATATGCTGCTGGAGTAAATTCATCAGGAGATGTACAGTTCAACCATTGATCCAAGAACAAACCATCACTAATCCTATAACCATGAAAATTAGAATTCACCCAATCGGATCAATGGTAGTTGATGATGTCCTATAGCAACGCTTATAGTGATCATTATTGTAGATGTTTCTTTAAAAAAAATCTCTTCAGCAAATGTTAGTGCTCATGTGTACATACATCCAATGTATCGCTACTTAACTGACTGAAAATTTTTTAATTTGCCATAAAGTAGACTTAAGTGCGTAAAATTATACTTTTCCACAGTAGGTAATTTAAGTGCATAAGTGAATAAATTTTATTTCAAAATTGCAATATTATACAAGTGATAGTGTTGAGAATGACTCTTCAAAAACAACCCATAATAATGAATTTGTTAATTATAATTTCGTAACAATCGAAGGCAAGGTTCGAGCCCGAATCTAGCCAAGAAAAGAAAGAGGAAAAACCTTGAGGCCGCCCGCACTCGCCTATAAGTTCACTGAACCAAGACCTATCAATTTTTAGTTTTTAATAATTTTTTATTTTGTGGTCTTAGGTCTCTTCCTCTGACAAAATGGCCAGTATTAGGTTTGGCTGTCACACCTTGAAGGGTCGTTTTCGATTGAGTAATCAAAAAAATTGCACAGCCAAAGTAGCTGGTTTAGTTTTTCTTGAGAAATAGTCATTACTAATTTAATCCATTTTCCTACGGAAAAAAATAGTTTCTCAACCTAAGTGAATCAGGCAATCAGATCCCATCATTAATAGATTTACGCCGCAAGATAGACATCGATAACGCCGCCCTAAGCCAGAAACATAAAACTTTGCTACAGACTAATTAATAAACCCATAATCTGAACATTATGATATAAAATAAATACTTAAAACCGGTGGAGTAATAATCTGAAAAAGTGGGTCGCGAAATACTTTTACCTCTCTTCTCGCATGTTTATTTACGTAATGAGAATAAAATTCACTACCTATTACTAATATGGTAATTATATTCTACTAATCTCAATTTTGTTAGAATCAAATTTCATGCAAATTCAATAGCTAGGTACTTACAATGCCAAAAAATCTCCGGCTATTATGTCTAGAGGTTCCACGTATTTTTTAGCTATGGCAGGCGGTAAAACAATTTGTTGCACTTGTTTTCTGAACGCTTCCCATTTCGGGCCATGACTATAAAACCATTACAGAAAAATTAGCAGCCAATTTTCAAATTATGGTACTTACACGCCAATTACACCTTCGTTGCCGCTGAAAAACTTCTTTTTAAGTTTTTGTTTGTAATAATGGAGCGAGGGCATTGAAGGCCTGTGAGGCATAGCCTCTTCTCTTCTGAATACTTTCTGGATGTCGTCGCCGTTGAATACGAACAGAAGATCCGGATGACCTAAAGAAAAACTTCAATAGTTATACTCTACTTCAGTACTTCATTCTGACAAATAAAATAGGTCGTTATCGGATTTTCTGGTACCTATGTCAAATATAGTTCAATAATTTTTATAAGTATTTAGTATACCGATTTCTTCCACTATCTTAAGGAATAATTTTTAATCCATAAAATCGCGGCAGAGCTGGGCAAAATACTTTTAAAAAGTATTTAAATACTAAATACTAAATACTTAATAAAGACTAAAGTATTTAAATACTAAATACTATTTGACTTGAGAAAAAATAAATACTAAATACAAAAAGTATTTAAATACTTATTTAAGTATTTAAATACTTTTTAAGTATTTAAGTACTTTAAAAAGTATTTCAATACTTTAAAAAGTATTTAAATACTTTAAAAGGTATTTAAATACTTTTATTAGGCAAATACCTTATTCAAAAACTTCAAATAGTACATTTCGTCACTAGTGCGAATAGACGGGCAGACGGCCTTTTTCAAACGAGGGCAATGATTTTGGAACGAGTCGTAGTTCGTAGCAGAAGGAGCCATCGGCGGAGGCGAGTTTAAAAAAGAAAGGCGTCCATTCGCACGAGTGACGAACGATATTTTTCATAACGGAGTGTTGAAGGGCATATATTCATTCCCACCATTGAACAGGTCTAGCGAAAACAATAAATTCCTACTAATCAACCTAGAAACATTGAACCAAGATTAACTCTGTCACAACAGTATTATTATACCGATAAAGTACGATTGATTTGACTACTAGAGGCCCTTTTTTGCACTGTCCAAATCAAATCAAATCAAGACTCCGTTATGAAAAATATCGGTCGTCACTCGTGCGAATAGACTAGTCGCTATTCGCATTAGTAACTCTGGCAAAAGTGGAAAACTGGCAGTGGCAAATACATCAAAAATTTCCGAATTTCGAACATGGGTAATTTTACCCGTTCTAATCAGTAATTAACTTACTTGCTTACTTACCATTCCTTGCCAAACAATAAATACGACCGACCGACCTGAAAACAGAGTCGGCAAATATTGAAAATAATCAAATCGAACAAAAAATTATTTATTTGATTAATATAAATACAACAAAAATAAACATTATCTTCTTGAAAAATAAATAAAATAACAGTTCAAAGAAACAAATCAACTGATCAAAAGAAGAGTATAAAAAGAACAAACAGTAGTAAGCACAGATAAAGCCTAAAGGTGCTTTCAGACGAGCGCGATTTTGCGAAATTTCGCGGTGATGTATCATTTTGAACTGTCAAAAATAATAGCAGCAACTAAACTTAACTTTGAATATCCTATCGCAAGTCGCCACAAAATGATGAAATAAGGGTTATGTTATGATTGTTTATTATTTTGTTCGTTTTGTTTTTGGTAAAGTGATAACTGATAAGTTAGTAGTATAAGTATAGTATGAGTATAGTGTCGATGGATACCTCAATAGTTGTTTCTGCGCTATTATAGAGTAAAAACAGTGTTTGCGATTAATCGCTTCATGTGTATTGAAGGAAAAATAATAAATCGCAAAAATGACAGATCACCGCGAAATTTCGCAAAATCGCGCTCGTCTGAAATCAGCTTAAAGCGGCACACACGATTTAAATCTCAAAAAATAATAACTACAAATAATCAAATCAAACAAAAAAAATTATTTGAATAATATAAATACAACAAAAATAAACATTATCTTCCTGAAAACTAAATAAAATAACAGTTCAAAGAAACAAATCAACTGATCGAAACAAGAGTATAAGAAGAACAAACAGTAGGTAAGTAAGTAGTAAGCATAATTAAAGCTAAAGCGACACACACGATTTAAATCTTTGAATCATTATTATTAGCATTAGCCTTCATAAGTACTAAATTTTCAAAGTTTTCATCGGATAAAGCGTGGCGGCGTGGCGTGTCAATAAATGTAGCGTACGAAAACATCCTTTCTACAGGTGCGGATGATGGTAACGTTGTATTGTATCTGAGAAACAATTTCTGCACGAGGGGATATTTATTAAGCATGGCCAACTCTGTGCGCGGATCTTGTAAGTACTGTAGGCATTCTAGTTCCCCTCTATTAGTAGAAAATGCTGGGCGCAAATTTTCATCAGTTCCATAATCGAATTCAAAAAAATCATTTAATGCTTGTTCTTTTGAAATCTCACATGTTTCGGGACGTTCACTGGCAATGAGTGTGAATTCTTCACAAGCACAAATGAATAGTTTCTTAAGGTCCTCTGATATTTGGGGTTGTGTTAGTTGTTCCTGTGCTTTAAATAAGACTATCCATCTCATTTTGAAAGCTGGATGCGAGATTGCGGCAAGCATTGCGTCCTTATTTTTAAATGTTAGGTACTCCTGGAATCTCCTAAAAACTGCTAATGAGAGGTCATCCACAACAGTAGCAAAGTATTTCAATTTTTCATTTTTTAGTTTTTCGACTTTAATTCTCATACTGGCAATAGTAGGTATAGCATATCCGAAATATATATTGGCGTCCCCTTGCAAGATATCTAATGCTAGGGCGAGCGGTTTGAGTACTTTAACGAATTCTGTTAAATATTCGATTTCATTCTCTTTCAACGAATGCTGTTTGATGGACAGTTTTTCATAGAGTGTAGGCAATTTTTCTTTATCTGCCAAAATTTGGTTGATGGAATCATAATGTGAATTCCATCGAGTAATACCTGGATAGCTGAGATGATGACCTAAGACCTCTTTGATTATTTCTGCTGACTTGGGACGTCCAGCCTTAGTCCATAACTGCGAACACTTATTAAGAATATTCGTATGACGGTTTCGTATTGCAGCTGACTTGTTTATAGATTTCATTAAGTCTGTAGTGGCAATTAAGTTTATAGTATGTGATATACAGCGCTGATGTTTTGGCAACTGGGTGTTTGGATGTTCTTGTTCGTAGTAAATTTCGTCAGTGGGAGTTATGGTGTCCGGGTTAATCGGATTGGGTGTAAAAAGAACATCTGCCAACTCTTCCATACCTTTAGCAACATTTTCGTCTATCTCAGCAGGTTCTATTTCACACGTCATGAGGGCATTCAAAACTACAGAGCTGGGAATGTTCACGCCATATTCTTTAAACGCCTTGATAAAATTGGATCCATTATCAGTAACGGTCGCCGTAATTTTTTCAGATCTAAGTCCAAAAGTTGAATGAATGTCGTCGATTAACTCTGCTATTCGGTCAAAACTATGGATTCCCGAAAATCTTCGACATGCTAAGGCAGCTGACCTTCGTTCATATGTTACGGGGTTGATCCAATGGCATGTGACGCCCAAAAAACTTCTTTTCTTACAAGACCAAACATCTGCTGTCGTGCATATATGTTGTACAGATTCCAAATTAATTTTAATATTTTCAAGTATTGTTTTACATGATTCGGAAATTCGTCTTACTGCCGTTTTTCTGGACATGACTTTAATATTAAGGCCATCGAATAACTGAATAAAACTATTATTTTCGATTATCGATAGGGCAGACATTGTTTCAGTGATAAATTTTACTATTCTTTTGTCAAATTGTTCTTGCGATATTTTTTGTCCCATTCCTAAAAAGCTTGATTTAAGATCCAGTTGTTTTTTTCTATTTACTGCAGTTGGTTGGCTGCTTTGGGCAATTTTTGTACTCTTCTTGTATTTTTTATAATCCAGGTATTTTTGATGCTCATGAGGATGTTTGGTTTTCATATGTTTCAAAAAATTTGTAGTAGCATTAGATCTGCCTTTGATGTACTTGATCTTGGGAATGCATTTTTGGCATTGGGCAGTTACAGTAAAATTAGCGCCTTTATCAGTTATTTTATAATAGGTACCGTCAAATAAGGCAGAGCATTCATCAGAGACTTCGGCTTCCGAGCGAGATTCACAACTGCTCTGTGCTTCTGTTGAGACTGAGAAAATTATTGATGAATCGCCAATCACCACATCATCAACAGATTCTGTTGGTGATGTGCTTCTCGTTCGAGAGGTACTCGCTTCGCATCTTCGGTGTAAACCAAAATAGTCCGGAATTTTTTTCTTTTTTATCTCCCTACCATAATCTGGATCCTTTACGCTGTCATCGCTATCATAAAACGGATCTATTTCAAAATCACTCGCATGAATTTCAGGTATCTCCATGTCCTCCATTTTAAAATCTGAAATAAAAATCGCTTTGCTATTGCCAATCATCAAAATTTTTGATTCATTTGATCAAATGTCGAAAAGTGAAAAATGAGGTGTCAATGTACTCGTAATTTAGTTTTCTATTGAAATAAGGGAAAATATACATGGCATCTCATTTACACTAACAAAGTTAGGGTCACTTCCGGTCAAACCGGAAGTGCTAAAAAATAATTGAATACGTCAATTAATGCACATTCGGGTTATTAATAAACACACCAAATTTCATTTGTTTATTTGTGACAATAAAAAAGTTATGGGGGTGAGCGGGTTTTGAAAAACACCCGGTATATAATTCCATGGCCAACTTACGTTTTTTTTTCAATATTGCGTTTGTAAGGATTAGTGACGTCACAAGTGGCTAGTGTGATACACTCGGTGATACATCATTCCAAAGAGAAAATAAAAACCAATTTTTTGGAATTAAAAAATACAGGGTGTCATATTTGGAAAATACTAAGTTTGGGCTATATCTCGAAAAAGGTTTGTTTAAAAAAAAATTGACTACGCCACTGGATTCTTCGTGAAAATATATATCTATAGCAGTTTTTACCTTTTTTCTATCCTACTGGGTGTCCAAAATATGATACCACCCCAAAAAGCGCAAAATTTCTATTCCACCCTGTATCTCGGGAACCAAGCATTTTGAAATTTGGAAAATTCTGCGTACTTGACGAAATATTCGGAAAAAATCGAAATTTTGCAATATCGTTTCATTTTTTTCTGAGTTTGTTTGAAGTTTGTTTTTGGTCGCCCATCATCCAGCTTTATTTTTCTAAATACGACCATAGATATTTTATATTGTTTTCTGTTGACTTTTGATATGTTTCAAGTAATAACCTTGAAAACTTTTGAAAAAATCATCAGATCCAAGATAAATTGACTTTGAAAAGTTTGCATAGACCTGTCTCTGTCTTACACATAAGTAGCGCCATAAATCCATCTTTATTCAACAAATTAAAGTGAGAATTTCATTCATCTGTCAAAACCAGGTTGGAACTGTTGTTCCAGCAATGAAATGACATGTTTTGATTGTTGACTTCAACCAATCAGATTGGAATTACGTGATGATTTGACTAGTGCAATTATCCGATAATTGCATAGTAACTGGTATCGAAACTGGTGTATTGACAAATTTTGACAAAAAATTTAGATTTTTGATTCGTGAAATTCTCTCATAAAATACAACTCGTGCAATGGAAATATATTTTATTTGCAATCATATATGTAATCTTGTCATTACTGACTTTTTAAAAATTTGGAAGTGACACTTTACCTGTGTCACTTCCCTCTTCGATTTCCCTCACCGATTTCCCTATTCGACTTCCCTCACCGATTTCCCTCACTCTAATTTATTTACCTTTGCTGGCAACAATGAGAACATGTCAGGTAAAAATGTCAAAGCAGTGAATGACACATTTTGGCATGTTTGTTTTATTTTTTTAATATCAAAAAAACTGATTGACTAAGCATAATTAACTGTGTGCTTGCAAATAAAATAGTATACAAACCTCGGAGGAAAGTTTTCATTCCTGTCTCGAGATTAATATTCAATCTCGACGCTTCGCGTCTCGATTGACTATATAAATCTCTCGACAGTAATCAAACACTTCCCTACTCGGTATGTAATAACCTACTATTTAATTTTTGAGAAATTTGTCCGAATGTATTTTTAGTTGAAAAAGAGCACGAGTGCACGTAGTTATCGATAATTTCCATTGCACTAGTTATACAGGGTGTCCCACAAGGTTTTTCCCAAATGATAATTTCGGAACGCATCATCGTATGTTCCACTGTATAATTTTTTGTCATATCCTTTAACAAAGCCTTAACAAATATGACATAGCCGATTTTGCAATTCAATTTTCTAACGAAAAATGCCATAATATACCATGAGTTACATTTAAAATTCGAAAGTTGACGTCACTTGGCCGACATTGGAGCAAAAATGGTGGAATTGAATGACAGTGGTAGAAGCGGCTCAAAAAGTTACCCAGATCCGCAAAATTTCAATTATATTGGATGACGCGTTCCGAAATTATCACCTGGGACAAACGTCGTGGGACACCCTGTATTACTATTGATAATTCCTAATAAAAAATAATAATTTGATACATTGCAGTGCTTGGATGACGCATAACAAAATAGAAAATTAACAAAAATAAAGTTGATGATGTTGGCAAAGAAAGAATTTTGGATTTTAAATTTGACAAAGTAATACGATGAAGTCGAAAATGAAGTGATATATTTTTTTCTTTGAAGATTGTGAAAAATGTATTATCGCTTTTTATGTTATGTGTAAGTCATGTGCATGGATACTGTTTAAACCAATATTTCTTGGATCTGATGAATGTTTTACAAGTTTGCATTAAAGCCAACAGAAAACACAACAAAAAAATCATGGTCGTTTTTAGAAAAATAAAGCTGATGATGGTAGACCAAAGAAGAAACGTCGGATATTAAATTTCACACTGCCATTTTATAGAGGGAAGAGAGTGGCAACGATAAAGTTTCATTTATTTTTGAATATCACTTCAAACAAGCTCAGGAAAAAATAAAATCGATTTTTCAAAATTTCGGTTTTTTCCGAATATTTCCGGAGGTACGTGCAATTTTCCAAATATCAGAACGCTATTTTGCTTGGCATTAAATTTGGCAACTTTGCCCCAATTTAACCAACCCTGTATCTTTTACCGTTTCCGATATCCCAATGATGTGGCTCGAATTTGAAACATCCTGTATGTACAATGTGTACATGGAAAAAAACACATTTCCAACTAGTACTCGCTGAATCAAACTTCTAGCATTAAGCGCTAGTGGGAAATGTGTTATTAATCACTCCTTGCTAGTTGCACAATATAATATTTCGCATTTATTAGGAAAATTTCTATCCAAGACGAAGATGTATTCACGTTAAAATATAAAATGGTAAGGGTCAAGCACCTTTTAGCACCTAGAGACTAGAGACCTATAGATGAGGCGCATTTTTACCAATACAAAACCCCGCATTTTTAAAGCATAAAACAATATGTCCTTACCGTTTTTCAAATTTATTATTCACTTCATTCACTTCACTATTTGTGCTTTTCCTTTGAACCAACACAACAACCTCAGCAGAAACAACAAATATTTTTCACCAAAAGCGCGTAAACAAACTACCCTGCCTGCCTGCATATATTTTCAGAAGCCGTCTAGCCAAAGATAAGCACGCGGCACGTGTCTAGTCTAGGAACTGATAATGTGACGAGTTGAATCTTGTTCATCTGTATATTTTTTGCAGAAGAAAAAGTATTTAAATACTTTCAAAAGTATTTAAATACTTTTGATAGTAGTTAAATACTTGAAAGTATTTAACTACTTTTGAAAGTATTTAAAATACTTTAAAGTATTTAAATACCAAATATTTCAAAAAGTATTTGGATTCATAAATACAAATACCAGTTTTAGAAAAGTATTTAAATACTAGGTATTTAAATACTTTTAAGTATTTAAATACTAAAAAGTATTTAGAATTGCAAATACTGCCCAGCTCTGAATCGCGGTCTACAATTTTTAAAATTAAATAAATCTTTGAATAAATACTTAGTAGAGAAAAGATATAGTTTAATGTATGCAGAACAGAATTTAATTTTGAGCATCTGCTGACAAAAAGCGTAAGAGTTGTTAAAAAATAAACCTAAAAAAGTAATTCAAAAAATTATTAAATTTATATAGTGTCAGTAATTCTAACGCAAACGTTCATTTGTGAAAAGTGTGTCACATTTAGTAAAAGCAAAAAGCAACGAAACACATGCATGTCATCATATAAACTAATGGATTCAGTGTTAAAATGTTTTTCTTTTTTTTAATTGGATTAATTTAGGTTAGTCAGATTTGATTGAGTTAGAAGGAAAAAACAATCGATGATATTGACATCAAAGATGAATTGACCAAAATAAGATTTGTATATCTGTAATTGGCATACAATGAGTCGTACGAATAAAGTGTAGTAAATGCTTTTACTCTACCTCTGTCTTTTTTTTTGCTGCATTAAAGCTGAAAATGTTTATCTCAGAAAACATAAGCAAAAGCATTCGCTTCTACATATTTTATTCATACGAGCCATATCTAGTTCAAAAAATTAAAAATGTATCATTATAGTACCTATGTAAATATACAGATTGTTTGATTTCTTTATTCTGTAAAATTAATTATTTTCGAAAACGAGCGACAAAAAAATTTTACTTTAATCATGGAATTTGCAGGTATGATTTAGATTCCATGAGGGGCAGATGCTTCGCATGATGATGAGACCTGCCGCACCAGAAACAAAAACTTACCAACTAACCCTCCAACTTTTACAATCCGACCGTAATCCTTATACAAACTCCACATAACCTTATCCAACTTCTCGATTTTGTATTGGCCAATCAAAGGAGCGAATCGCCACGAATTTCCTATCAATGGTAACTCTTTCGGTCCTGGTATTGCTTTATATGGCCTCACTTGATCAGTCGAGGCAATTTTCTGAGCACTTGGGCGTTCGATGACGTCATTACCGTAAATTTCTCCTGGAAAAAAGTCGAAAGTTGTGGAAAATTGTCGATTGCCATCTCTCGGGTGTGTATCGGGTACTGTGGAGTAACTTCGGTCCATTTGACGTACGTCATTGGTTGCGATAGTTTTCAGTGCATCGGTCGAGTAAAAAATTCTCGAATCTGATCGGGAAGATTTTTGTTGACCTAATTTCAGAGGTTTGGCGGAGGGAGAAAAGTGACGGATTTGACGAATCAAATTCGCGGTTGCTTCTCTGGACATGGTTGAAAAATTTCACTGAAAATTGGAAATAATAATTGATATACATTATTATTTTAATAAGTGAATCACAATTTGGCAACGTTGTAAAAAATTCACCCATCCTAATAAAAATTCATTGTTGCAATTTTTTTAGAAAGACGACAGACACTTGGCAAATTGTTTTTGAATACAACAGCGACCAATATTTGGTTCAAATAAAACACTGATGTTTTTGGAATAAAAAAAAACTGGAGCGTATCTTTCTCGGTCGTTCTTCATCCTCGCCGACGTCCGTCTGACCCAGTGACGCAAAAATGCCACTCATCAAAAGAACAAACACTTCGCTGATCCAGTCCCCATCATTTCATGGAGGTTTCATTTGTATCTACGAAGGTCTAGTGGATAATCTGCTAGACCTGCTCCAAGCAGATCTGGACCTATATTCTCAAAGCAGCGAAGCAGCGCGTAATCATTCGCATAGCATGAGAGTTCAGCTTTCCTGTTTCCAGAATTGTTGTCTCTGGAAGAAATCTAGTAGTTATGTACAATATGAATACCCCTCATATACCAGGTGATTCTGCAATTCGATGAATGCCGGTATTGAGAATATTGGGTGGACCTGTATTTTTGTTCACAAAAGCATCCAGTATCATAAAGCTTCTTCTTACGGAACATTTACGTCTCTAACTTTCTTGAATTGATTTCGAGGCTGTCTTTGGACATGTGAACACCAGAAAACAGTCATCTTCTTCTTGGCAGCGACTGGAGTAATAAAAAACATCTTACTGCACCGAGAAGAGATGCGAATTTCACGAATGCACGCTACATAATTTCATGAAAGTTATAAATACCGTGCCTTTTTGTGTCAAATAAATAAAAGACGGGCAGATAACAATTTGCGGGAAAACCAATGGATAACCGTCTAATTTATAATTTATATTCCCATTGAAACTGATTTTTCTGTGACAGCCCAAGATATCCGTCAGTAGGTATTTCAGTTCAGGTGCAGTTTTTTGAACTTAAAAAAACGAATGCATTCGTCATTTGTACCTAATTATTGTTTTGACAAGTATTGATCGGTATATTTGAATTAGCTTATTGTCGGTCGTTTTTATTCTGACATTTTGCGTATGAGGAGCGAAGGGGTGAAGAATATGGCAAAAACAGGTGTGAGGTCAGGTGACCATTGGCGTTCTAACGTAGGGAGCCACTAGCTCCACATTCCTTTGGAGTATCAAAGTTACAAGGGAAACTAAATTTCAGGTATTTCATTTGAAAATTAAATTCTATCTTTATCTGCTGATTTTGTTTTTTGGGTGTTCAGCCCCAATCAAAATATTGGATCCAGGGCCGAGCCAACACATGCCGATTGAGCTGTGCGAGTGAATTTGGAAAAGAAATTGTTGTCGAGTGCTGGCTGTTGAGTTTTACATCACATATTATATTCGCGTCTACGACTTATCCAAGAATACCATTCAGGTGCTGGATATTAAGTTTTGTTTGTTGTATACTTAAGTTTATGTTCGTGGGTCGTGATTATTAATATATTGAGAAACTTATGCCCATTTGCACATCATAACCTAATCCAGGAGTAACACTTGTAACCCAGGGTTATAGCGAAAGTTGATTTGCACCCTTTTTTAACCTCGAATTATAACACTATTTAGGGCCGGTTTATTCACCTTCTGATAAACTGTGAGGTATGCAATCTGACAGATAAAAACGCAATCTGTAATGTAATTCTATTGGACGGCCAGTTATCCGCCAACCAAAAGAATTATGGAACGGTAAATTTATCTTATAGATAGTTACCAGCAAGTTTATCTAAAAATGAATAATAACCGGGCCTTAGGAATATAAAATATAATCCTAGATTTATCAAAATTGAAGAGTTGAAAACGAGTTAAATCTAAATTCTCGTTTTGTAATTTGTAACCTAAAAATCGTGTCGAGTTTGAATTCTCTCGAACGCATTATTTATGCAGGGGTAGTGATTATTAGGGAAAGTTGGACGAACAGTTTTTTCAAAAATTTAGGCGGAAAAAAGGTGCTATGATGAAATGGACATGTTAGTTTATATATAGGTATCTTTCCAGCAGAATCCTAATATTTTGCTATTCGAGTCATTAGATAGGTAGTCTTGCGTTGGCAAATATTTTTTCCAGGAACAAAATGGTTCAACTATCAAAAGTATTTGCAATTCCATAAAGTGACTTTTTGTTTACAACAGTAAGGTCTTGTGATGCTGGTCCTCCACCAGTTAGATATAATTTTTCATGATCTGCTTTATTTTCAGGTTTACTTATACTTTTCAGATTCTTAGAGAAAGTTTTCAATTGAGCTGGATGCTGATTGTTGAGCAAAACAGATTACACATTGTTTTTTTCTTTTCCTTCATTGCTGGTAAAATCATTTTTTATATTCAATAATTTTTGCTTAACGAAAAAAATGAAGCAGGTCTTGTTTTAAAGGGGCAAAGTTGAAGCCCCTCTGTCGTTTTTTTTTTCTCATCACTCATTGTTTAGCCGAGGATTTCCAGGAATATCAGAATTAATAAGATGAACAGCTACTGAGTAAATAAAACCATGATATACAAATTCGGAACGGAATTAAGAATTGGATCGGCATAGTAATAATTAATAATAGCAATAGCAAAACCAACAATTTGTCTGACATTAGAAACGCGAAACAATTTATTGGTCAGTTGATACTGTTGTTAATATTGTGTTACCCAATCCGCCCTACTGTTTTGTTGCAATGCATAATAAAAAGGAAAAGTCATAAGGAATGATATTTAAGTCGGGGTTACATAGTCCTGGATTAAATCAAAATCGGTGCAAATGGGCATTAATCACTTATAATAATTATCAGTTCCGGATGACCATGGTCGACCTCTAATAGTTAATCCAACTGAAGCATTTTTTATTCAAATAAAAATTATCTGATTGAATAGAATGGATATTAGTTTGAATCAAAAAATCTGATACAAATGAAAAAACCTGGATTCAATGAAAAAATCATTAGCCCTGTGAGGAAGTGGAAAATAATGTTGTGAAACACAAAAACGAAATGGATCCGACCCTGACTTCTACTGACTTGAACTTGAAACCAACACTGGCGGTGCCTTTGTCGGCATTTACCAGTATTTTATAAAATTATTGTTTTCGAATGTAAACAGTATGAATTATATGATATATGGTATATTGTGTATTTTAGAATGAAAAGTAGCAGATTCTCAGTTAACGATGTAAATTGCTGGACGACGCGCAGCTGAGGCCAGCAAGCACCGATCATACGGGAATGGAATTCTTCATTCTTTCTCCGAAGAAGAAGAAGGTAGGTATTTATGTACATATCTTCAAATTTTTTGTGATCCAAAATTAATTAAAATAATGAATAGAATAGAAATAAGATGATTAGATAATAAATTTGATGCGTTTCAAGATGGTATGACATGGTTGGTTAATTCCTCTATCGATGCCTCTTTTCGAGAAGTCCAAAGTCTAGGGCAGTACCAAGCTTTTTTCCAGCGACAGTTTTTATTTCCGGCTTATTTGATTGGCCAATTGTTCGAAAAAGTAATTTTTTCGCGATGTTTTCTGCAAGAAATCGGACTGAATCGGTTTCAGCTTTTTTTGTTCGTGCTAAGTAGTAAGTTCTTTGCCAGTTGAGAGTTGTTACTTATTTATGTATATTGACATAATAATGACAAACTTTAAATTTGATTCTTATTGTCTTATAATAGAATCTCGGATTCATCGATTTCTTAGTAGATCAACTAAACAAAATTGTAAAATTTAACAGGAGATAACCTTACCATGATATTATTTTGTCAATTTTTCAAAACTACAAGGAGTATTCAAAAAAGCCAATTCAAAAAGGAATAAGATGCCAAACAATGATAATTATTAGACTTGACAAACTTTTCAATGTCTTTTGACCGTCTAAAATGTGCCATTTTTTAAAAATAATTTTCTCAGAAAGATTAAGAAAATAATTGTTCTAAAATGTTTTTGGAAATGTTTTTAAAGAAAAGAACTACATACTCAAAATAAATGAAAACCAACATTGCCAAATGAACACACAATTAAGGCCTAATATACGTTCTAACATGATTCCTGAAAATAAACTCACCTTTTAACTAAACAAAAAATCACAATATCGGTAACACGCAATTCCACATTAAAAAGCACAAAAAACACAAACCCAAAATTCGAATTTACCACTCGATTTTATAACTTTATTTCTAGTGGCCGGTAGAAGGGACTAATTTTGAATCTATCCTTGTCTAATCGCTTAAACAAAAAACAAAGACAGCCACCTACCAACCCCTCTAAAAACCATAACAACGCATCATAATCTATTTCTCTCTCGCATATACAACCATTCATACTTCTTTCTCTTTTTTCTCTTGTGTGCATTTGATCTGCTAGGATTGTTATGAAAGGATCAGTAAGTCAAGGTCGTACGCGTGGTATTCGAACCGTGCGCTAAAATCAGTGAAACGACGAACGTTGGAGTCGTTATGTAATTGGTTACTTTGATTTGAATATATATTTTTCTTAATACAATAATCTTGACAAAACACAATATTGGTATCAGAATGCAGCTATGACTCTAGCTAAGTAATCGGATTTTACGAAATCTACGCGTCTGATTTCGTAAAATCCGTTCCATGAGATTCTTTTTTCTGGAATACACATTTATTGTATAGTTTTAAATTGTTCATGGTTTTTATTTGCTTCTGTATATAGCTTTGTGGAAAAACCAGCCGCTCATGTCATGGGATGAGACGGTTCCTCTCTACAGAGATTTTTACTCCTATTTTCATAGCCGGTGACCTCCGTAGGACGAGAGGGCCTAAAATAACTACCCCTCTTTTTTCTGTGTTAGGGGTAGGGGATGTAGGTTTTTGTA